CTAATGCTTGTCCATCTAACACTAAAGAACACAAACACTGTGGCAAATATTCTGGTAAACAAACGCATTTTAAGAACTCCTCACAGGCTCCCTATACAGTTGTTGCCAAGAAGGGATCAGTTCTATTAGCTATACACCTGGAAACAGAAGGACAGATGGGATTTGGAGCTGAAGTGATAAAACACTGGAGGTGGCATTATCAGATACATACCACTAAAGAACTATCACCTTTTTCTCCTGTATAATAAAACAAAAGTTCTCATTAGAGTTTTTATTTGCTTCTTCTGTGACAGACTATCCTCCAAGGCATCAGCAACAGGAGCACAGGTCTTAGCAATCTTTGCTGCTATCTGATTACGTGCCATAGCCTCTGAATTTAGTGACACCTCTGCAATCAACTGCCTGGAGACCAAAACCAAACCCTTCACCACGGTTTAGAGCAGGAGACACGTTACCACTTCTTTCCTCGCAAGATTAGAGGCATAATTTTTGCTTTCACTTCTCCCTCCTCTCACAAACAAGCTGCACTGGTTGATTGCTGGGGCAGAGACATGGGCTATGCTAGACTCTAAAAGCAAGCACCGAGTTCAGATATCGCTCCTGCATTGGATGACTTCAATTTCAACTAGAAGTGAGGCACAAGAGATGAAGTACCAGGTGAGAGGACAGGCAGACACCTGCCATTTAGCAGGCTGCCTAGTGAATGTGGTGTTTGAAACCTACTGCGTGCCAAGGTACTGACATGGCATAGCAACAGCTGTAAGCATTACAGAAGAAACACGAGCTTTTCCCTCTTCTGAACCCTCCTTTAAGCAATAGCATTACAGCAGCTTACAGAATAAGCACAAAGACCAGCAAGACCAGCAGGGCTCACAGTTTCAATGCCGCAACGATAAGCAAAAGCTGCAAACATCAGACAAATGAAAAGCAAAGCCATCACTAGTGTGACCTGAGTTCAAATCAAATCTCAAACCCTGAAATTAAAAGCAAGGAGAAACAGCCTGCAGGCTGGCCAGAACAGCATTGGCTCAGTGAGGTTATGGCCCCACAGTGACAAGTGACTCGGCAAAGCGACGAGGAACATGCAGAGGAACAAGCAGTGTCGCAGCCACCAGGACCCCCCTCACCTCAATCATTTGTTGCACACTACCCAGCAGCCCAGCACAACCCTGCCCATTTTTTTAGCTATGTAATACATACAATCCAGCAAGGAGAAACTTATGAAGTAACACTTGGTTTTCGGTTTTTGTTGTTGTTGGCTTTTATTTTGCGGGATTTCTTTTTAAGAAAACAAGGCAGAATAAAAGAACTAGTGAAATCACCTCTACTAACACAAAAGAGTAAACAAAGAGCACACTCCATCCGACTTCTAAGAGTAATACTCTCTGAATAGGTTGGTTTTTGTTGCTGTTTTTATGAAAATATTCCTCTGTTACAGAACCAACCAGCAATTCATCAATGCAACAGACAAAAGAAATATTACCATTTACACCCAGAAGGTTTTTTACCTGAAGTTCTAGGGTCAGGCAGGTAAACTAGAACTCATCTAACCCCCAATAATCATTTTAACATTATTTTTCCATCCTTAAAAGAAGATACTGATGAGATTTCTTTGCAGAGAATGCTGCAAATTGATAGCTTTGTTCCAGTTCACTACAGTTTCTTATTGATTTTCTCTCGTTTGAGCCTGCATTGATTTGTTAATCCCTTCTCTGTAACAGTTTTAATGACAAATTGAGAATGAAAAACTGCATGCTTTAGGGCATTTTCCACCAACCTCTTGCTTCAAACCATAATTTCACATAGATTTGGAAAACATCTATACCCTGGGTCAGACCTGACTTAGCTCATACTAAGATAATCTTTACACTGCAGCCTTTCTACTTAGGCTTCTCATAGATGGACAAGGCAGCTACTGAAAGAACTCTAGCAAGGCAGAAGAGGATTTCTGCATTTAGGACAGCCCCCTTCCAGAGCTGTTGCTTACACAGGCTTTGTCTTAACACTGACTAGATTTTTTTTTAAGCAATTTTCACCACAAAACCACAGCAGAGTCAGCAAAAGCAAGGCAGGTACAGGCTGCCACACGCCAATGGCTTATTTTTGTTCCCTGACACAAAACTGGCCCCCCTTCAGTCATCACTGCCAAGAGTCAGGCTTGGTGACTGTGAAACTGAGCAGGGAATTAAGTCCAAGAACTCAGGTATCCAAAAACGACAGCGATACAAGTTTTTGTAGTTTCCTAACTGGAACTGGAGATCTCAGTCCTCAGCTGTAATCTAGCACAGCTTTCTTTAATTACAGAAAGGGTATAATGAGAGCACGGCTGCATGTGAACCGTGCTGCATATCCAAAATGACCGTAGACTTCCCTTCCATCCAATTTAGTGAGGAATGTTCAGCACTGCAGGATGATTTCTTCTCATTCGTTTACTGCTGCAGCAAATGCTTGCTGCAACGTGAATGACATGCTGAACATACCCCAAACAGTAGAATGATAGCTATTAAAACCAAAAATATCAAATTGGCCTGGAAAAGCATTTTGACAAGGAAGAAACATTAAGCCAGGTCTTTGTAGCATTTGCTAAATACAGAGGCTCATCATATTTCAGGCCATTCGTATTTAATTCTCCTTTCATCTGAAGAGCAGTGGCTGTGAATGCACATCAGGCAGCAGATGAGTCAGATGTTCTGAAGAGGTCCAATCAAGGACGCCCCACAACATAAGAGCACTGCATGCATAATGCCTCACACAACTGATTCTGCTACAGCCCCAAGTTCCTTCTCCGTGTCTCATCCTATTCCATGGCGGTTTTGCACAAAAGCACTAAGAGAAAAACAATAAATCGGCCCGCAGACTCTTTATTTCAGGAAGTTAAAGGCAGGAGACTACAGGAGCCTGATGTTCATGCACACTTAAAGCTGATTAGCAGATAATCATCTTAAGTGCAGGCTTTTGTTCTTCCATTGTTTTGGATGAAAAACAAACAAAAAAATCCACTTGTATTTCCAAGGTCAATGTTTCCAAACGAATTTGTGAGATGAAGTCAAACTCAGTGAAAACAGTCTTCCACAACACTTCAAAATTCAATTTTGGAAAGGTAGACAGACTGCAGATACAGAGATTATAGTCATTTCAGCACAAAGAAGAGAGACTCCCCAGTCCTTGGTGAGGGTATAAGACAAGTCACAGCACAGGTTATCTCAAGGACAGCACAGTAGACTTAAACAAGTGTGCCTTTTATACTTTCCTCTAATTTCTACATCACTTTCTCCACTTTGGCTTTAGCAGTATTAACACAAGTTCAAAGGGAATCAATGGACTAAAACACGGTTCAACATTTTTGTTCAATCGTTAAAAATCATTAGTTGTAAGTGTCAGCTATTAAATTGGTCCTCTTTAATGAAGTGCATGATGGAGTTGATAATTCACAGTAAGCATGGAAAAGAACTCATCCTCTCTGTGTCCATTTTAACTCAAATCAAACCTCATCTCTATATGAAGACAAATGGAAAAAAGGATAGTTTGCGTGCAAAAAAAAACCAAAACACCAGCTCACACACTACATAGTATAAACACTGCAACTTAACACAGTTTTAGGTATAAATTCTAACTCTGGCATTATTTTGTAACCTTGAAGTGAAGTGATTTAGGCTCTTATCTGTTTGTTCCTTTTCCCATCAATGCAGATCCTCTCAGCGTACAAATGATGCTAGCTCTTGATCACACTCTTCTTAAATCATCTTCATGCTGTTAGCTCTGCAAAGAATGATGCCTGCTCCAGAACACTGCCATTGCTAATCACTCAAATCAAGTCTCTCACAGGTGTATAAGAGGAACAGCGCTGAGGGCAGCAGAATGAAGATGAGATGTTGTTTTTACTCTTTCTTTTCAAAGAATGTTTCTGATTGCGTCTCCTTCCTTCACCTTCATGGATCACTCGTCCTGCCAAGCTTAAGTTCCCCTGGCAAAAACTACAGCTGCCATGGCTTTGTATTGTACAAGGGACACGAGAACTACTTCAGGCATTGCCCAAAGCTCAAATGAAAAGCAGCACAAAACAGGTTTAATGGTGGTGTTCCTATAGCTATCCAACAATAAAAGCAAGGATGTCATTCTCAAAATAAGTTAGACTGCTGCTTGAGACTCAGTGGAGTCAACACCAACCACACAAATTATTTGTCAACGCATATCCTATGCTCTAAGGTTCCACTTCTCATCCGAGTGCCCACATCTGCAGAACGCTGATGACAAGAAAGGGCTGAGGCTGACTCTGCTAGCTGAAGTCTTGCTGCAAAACATAACCTGAAGGCAGAGCAGCAGTGCATGCACTGCAGCTGAAGACCTCAACCTGTACTTATTCCTTGCATTCTGACTGCCACAGGGACCTGCACATTGCCATCCAGCAGGCCAATTGCCACATGCTGCTTCTCAGACACTAACAAGCCAAGAATACGGTTTGCAGGCAGTATGGGTTGCAAACAACTTTTGAGTTCCTATGCAACATCCACTTTCCCACCATCTTTGTGTCTGTGATTTTCTCAGTCATACAAAAAAAAGAAACCCTCCAACACAGCTCAAGGATGTTATGAAGTAGAGAAATCTTCATTCTTGCTTAGTCAACCTGAGACAGAAGCTGCAATATAATTTATCAGCTAGAGAACAGCCATTGGCTAAATTGTTACAGAGGGCTTCAGCAAGAAGTAGCGCCACACCTGGGCAAGGTCCCACCCCAGCTGTGAGACTTCAAAGCTGCAGCTATCTCCAGTATGCATTTATATGTGAAAGAACTTGGCATCTGGTTCAAACAAGAGAAAATCAGCTTCTTAATGCAAAAGCCTTTTATGAAATTTGAAGTAATTGAATCATTAAGTTCTGAGCTTACAGGAAGATCAACAAGGGCTTGCGCTGCAGCAATTGAAAGGTTTCTATTAGGAAATTGTTCTGATTATCTTAATGCACCCAAGAAAAACCTGGAAAAATGGTAATTTCTTCATTACCTGAGATGCTCCATTTAGGCAAGACAAGGAAATAGGAATGTTACAAAACAGCTTCACAGATTGTTCAGATGCTGTGCACGTCTCCTGCCCATCAGGAACCACTGCATGTCTTCCAAGCTGTCCATAGTCTGCTCTGCCCCAGGTGAATACCTTCCCAGTTTCTAAAAACAAAGCACATTTCGAGATTACTTATTCACTAGGTTCCTGGAACATCTGGATACCAATTCAAAGCTAGAATACCACTTTCTAATGCATCTTATCTAAAGCTTCAAAAACCTAGTGGAAACTTATTTGCTTCTGGGAGCACAAGAAAAATTTTATTAAAACTAAAGATGAATTGAGTTGCTCTTCCACACAGTTTCTCCAACTTCATTAACTTTCCAGCAGAATGCCAGCTGTGTGGTGGCCTGGGCTGTAAATGAAACCACTTCAGTGAAGCTGCTTAACTTGTATATACTGCATGCAATACACATAATTTATTTGTATAAAGAATGCTGGTTTTTAGCTTCACAGAAGCACACACAAAACACCTGTTTTTGAAGCACAAAAGATTGTTTTCTATTCTCAGTATTTGCCATAGAAATATCCATCCTATGTCCAGCATTTAACATATGGTTTGTTTTCCTGATAGAAGTCAGGATACCTTCTGTCATAACTCCTGCTAGCAAAGTTATAGCCCTCAGGGCAGCAGCTGATTAGTGAGGAACTCCACCACAGTCATCATTAAGCACTGCAAATACAACAGTTTGTTCTCACAGGAATCACATTTTTACCAAGGCAGTTTTAAATGAAATCAGCAGCATTTAGATCATCCTTCTCCCCACATTACAAAGGGTTTCACTGCTGCAGGACTGACACCCCAAAGTCCATCCTACAAAATAAACAGCATTCATAAAGTAATGCTTCTTACCTTCCATTCCTATTTTGAAAGAACATGCTAGGTGCAAGCTTTTTTTTTTTCCTTAATGACATAATTGCATTTGCAAGGAAGTTGGTGAAAGCTCTCCTTCCACGGCCTCCAATTTAAAAAGTTATATATACACAATATAAACAATATGCTCTTAAGTGGGTTTTTACTAGAAGCAGCAATCCCATCACAGCCCAGAAGGAAGCCTGCACTGACCCTGAATTCCACGTGTACTTCAGCCAAGCCTCAAACTTCTGAGAACTGGATTCCCCAAGTCACAAGCTGAACAATTTTAATTTTCCTCAAATCATAGAATCACAGAGTGGCTTGGGTTGGAAGGGTCCTCAAAGATCATCTAGTTCCAACCCCCTGGTGTGAAATCTGTGAGAAGTCAAGCAAAGCAGCTCTAACACTCACTTCTACCCTTGCCCTTCACTGAAGACATACCCCACAGAGCCAAGGGTTTCCTTAATATGCCGTAACACAAACCTCAGGAAACCTGAACAGCTCTGGTTTTTTTGGGTGCTGTTATACCATCTCAGAGGGAACAAAGCTAGGCACTGCTGGTTTGGGGGATTTAAGCTGGTAACGCATTTCAAACTGGAAATCTCTGACTCTGTAGAAATGTACATGAAGTATATCCATCTTCCTTGCAAATCTGCTGGTAGTGGTATCTTTCACTCAGATCTTTCAAACAGTTTTTCAGATTCATTCTCTCAGTTCACTGATAACGCCTTCCCTGAAATAATTAAGGGATAAAATTAGTTGTCCTTTTCTTTCAAGGGCACAAAGATTTTTTGCCTTTGGAGGCTCTCTAGCACTTAGGGAGTAGCTGAAACCAATCACACATTGCTTTCAACCTAAAAAAGGTCTTTTAATACGCACGCTTTGTTTTGTTAGGTTAAAGCACTAGAAGGTTTCATTGATAGAACACCAGCATGCTTTAAAACTTGGAGGAAATAGTTTGTAGCTTAAAAAATGTATATGCTTATTTTGTGGGTACTATATTTATTTTATAGTTGGTATGGATCTCTGCTAAAAACGTCTGCAGCTGCAAAAATGTTGCAGGAAAGCTCCTGTGTCAATATGTTCTGCAGCAAACCTAAACGTAGATTGAGTCTCAGGCTTTTACATCACACCAGATTACTGCACCTATGAAGAAGTTTGTGAGCAGATTAGAAATGTGCAGGCAGGCTGCTCTACTTTGTATCAACTCCAGGAACTCAAGCTGATTTTTATGGAGGATAAACCCAGAAAGAATTTTTGTAGCATCTAGTCAGATCATTAACATGCCACAGGCTCTCAAGCCCTACCCAGACACTGCTGCATTGACCTGTAATTCAACTTAAAGCATTTCAACCCTCAGAAGCCAAACACATCAAGTGCAAGAGAGACAGACGTCAGCAACCCACAAGGCCTCCAGAAAGGTGAGCAGGATATGTGATGACACATCCAGATTCTCCCAGACCAATGGTAGCACTACCTCAGACACAGGAAAGAGTCCTCTCCAGTCGGACTTTTTTCCCAAAAGCAAATTGTGTGTTTCTTCTGGACCCAGACACTCAGAGAAGCCCCAACCACTCAGGTAACAGTAAGGATCCTGGGCATGCTCACATCAGAGCACTGCCTTGTCTAAATTCATGCCTACTGCTAGTGTTCATGGATTCAGATGAAGGCAAACTAAAATTCCACGATACATCTGACCAGTTACTCATTGAGAGATTTTCCTGCCCTGTAGGTGACCAGTCGATAGATCTGTCTAACTACAGCTGCCATCAGCTGTTTATTTTGTTTTTATCAGCAATGAAGACTAGAAAAAGCTCCTTTACCCACCATCTCCACCTGCTGTATGTTTGGTTTTGTTTTTTTTTTTTTCCTTCTACTATTATTTACTTATTGGTGCCCTTCAGGTTTACTGCAATTCTACTATTTGATCAATTTTTGAGGCACTACATTAAACTTTCAAATAAGTTGAAATATAAATAACAGGCCTAGAAACGGTACGATGCTCATGATTTTACTCCTCCACAACCTTACAATGGCTTAGAAGTGTGTTCGTTATTATTATTGCAAATTATTCCAGCAAATTTGGTGGAAATAAAGAACATGAGTATATCAGAAGGATTGAAAACAGACAGTAGTAGGGCTTAGCTACAGCAGAACACCTCCAATGCCCAGGTTCTGTTTTCTTTAACTGGAAAAGCAGCATAGAAATACTTACACATTCAACATCAAACAGCCTTTAGCAGTCTCACTGTTCACAAGCAGAAATAACTAATTTCACTTTTTTCCATTTTGCAACTAAGGGAAACAAGTTTCAGGTGGTTACTGGTAGGCAAACACAGAGAATATCAACCTTAAATTTTAAACCAGGTGATTTTTTTGTTTGTTTTAAGAAGAGATTAAAAGTTGGCCCAAAAAGCCAAATCCTCCTTTAGTTCTCACGAACCCCAAAATATCCTTTCCGTGAGAGAACCTAATAGAAGCTGATTTAGAAGTGCCTCCTCTACAAAACGCCAATTACATTTTTAGCTAACAGACCAACAAAAAAATTTCAGTCACAAGTGGAAATTTCAGGCTGAGGCAAACACCAATGCATGGAAAATTCCAGCCAAGAAGGTTAAAGTCTTCTCAAAATCCTAAGCGAAAGAAAGCATTGAGTTATGACAGAAAGTGTTAAGCAACTGTAATGAGAGGTATTGCTACTGTGCTGCTTATAATATAGATGGTATTTTAAAATGTTCTAAGAATATTTGAGAAAGACATTAGTCATACAGAGTAAGGAGGCTGCAGGATGAATTACTTAAGAATGAAGGGTGATATAACAAGGAACGTTGGTCTAATATTAGAATAGAACAGATTTTAATTAGAAGTCGAGAAAACATACACAGTGATGAGTCAACTGGACAGAGTACATCAACCATGGAAGTGGCTGAGGCACCAGAAAAAGGTATTTTGTCCCAGACTCCATACAGTAAAAGAATAAAAGGCAGGAGGAATTTCTTCAGCTTGTGTGAAAGAAAGACGCATACTACATCGGCAGTTCTTGGAAGATACTAATGATGCTTCCTAAGACCTTGATCTTACCATGTTCTGAGCACATGGGCCTCGATTCCAAAAGGTTCTTTAAATCCTCAACAGTGAAGATCAGCGTCACCTCAGAAGACACTATCACAACTCTCTCTTTTTTCACAAAAAAATCATAGAATCATTAAGGTTGGAGAAGACCTCTTAGGATCATCCAGTCCAACCGTCTACCTACCACCAACACTGCCTGCTAGGTCATGCTCCTAAGTATGACATCTACCCTTTAACACCTTCAAGGACAGTGACTACAACAATCCCCTGGGCAGCCTGTTTCAAAGCTGACCACTCTTTTTGAGAATACATTCTTCCTAACATTCAATCTGAATCTCCACTGGTGCAACTTGAGGCCTTTCCTCTAGCCCTATCACTATTACCTGGGAAAAGAGGCCATACACCACCTTGCCATAGCCTCCCTTCACCAGCTTCATTGCCCATCTCTGGAAATGCTCCTAGGCCTTGAAGTCTTTCTTATAGTGAGGAGTCCAAAACAGAACACAGTACTCCAGTTGCAGCCTCACCAGGACTGAGTACAGAGGGATGACCACCTCCCTGCTCCTGCTGGCAACACCATTTGATACAAGCCACAATGCCACTGGCCTTCTTGGCCACCCGGGCACACTGCTGGCTCATGTTCAGCCAAGAGTTGACAAACACCCCCAAGTGCTTTTCTTCCATGTAGCTTTCCAGCCATTCTGCCCCAAGCCTGCAGCATCGTATGGGGTAGTTGTGATTAAGTGCAGGACCCGGCACTTGGTCTTGAATTTCATTCTATTGGCCTCACCATGAAAGTGTGATAGTATTCACTGGAAATCCAGCATCAGAAAGGCTCCTGTGTTTTCCTCAGTTCAGCCTTCTATCCTTACGCTACCACAAAGCATACACAGTTAAAAACAGCCTCAAGATTACAAGTTTACAATCCTCAGAATTTTGCAAATCCAGCAACCTTGCATAAAGCACCTCCAGTTGCTTCCTGCCTGACTGTCTCTTACTGTGCTCTATGGTGCTGCCGAGACTGCAGATTATGTCATCTGGCACTTTCTTAGTCAGCCTCCTCAGCCATATAAATACTTGGTGAAAAAATATCTATTTGGAAAAAGCCTTTTGGTTTTAGAAACAGCTTGGCTTCACTGTTAAGCAACAGGCGGACAGGGACATTAAAATTTACAC